ATGCACGCACGCATGCACGCACGCACGCACGCACGCACGCACGCACACACACACACACACAATTCAACTCCACAGTCAGTATTTTTCAGAATCAAAAGGGACCCTGCAGTGACCAGTTGATTACCTGAAATAGTTTTGACCTGCCGCCTCCTCTTTACAGACTATGTTGTGCGTATTGTCAAACCCTCCAGGCATGTCACATCTGAAGTAGGCCTGCCAGAATTCCTTCAGCCACACATCAGAATCGGTGTGAAATGGGTGGATGCGAGACATGTAGTCCTGTGGAAACACATGTAAGAGGATGAAGAGTTGGAAGTGGGGTGGAAAAATTCCCTGAGTAAAGAAAACCACAATAACGGTTACTTTGTGCATGCAAGGAGCAAGACAGACAGATAGAAAGTAGGGCCTACTAGTGGCACCCTCCAACCACCAGCACACATCTGAAAAGAAGCTACGCAGGACACATTAAGAAGCAACATTTAAAAGATAAACAACCCCGCACGCACACGCACACATACACAGACACACACAGACGCACACACACACACACACACACACACTCACACACACACACACATACACTCACACAGGCAAAATGTAAGAGCACAGAGCTAGGCTTTCTTAGTTCCGGGCCAAATATCCCGCACGACAGCCTCGGCATTGGAGGCCGGATATTTTTCGCGCTTATCTTGATAAGCTCGCCTCTGAGCAAGTCCTTATCTTATCGAGGTTCAATGCGAAAAACGGCGATTAAATGCGAAAAGTGGCTATAGGCAGATGCTCTAATACTAATACGTATACAGGTGATGGAACATTCTTGCATTATACTTTTGCGTGCCTAAAGTGTAATGTGTATACATGTGTGTAGCGCCTTGTCTGTTTAATCTCCTAGCCTCTTATCATTGTTTCATTCAGTGCTGTTGGATGTACACGTTCTTTTCGTTTGGAGGTATTTTTACAATACTCAATTCTAAGGATTAAATTTGTGCTTGTATTATGTGTTTTAGTGCTCCGCCCAGATTCTAGTTTTCTTTCATCTTGAATGTTATTATAACTGTAAAAAAGTTTTCAGCTGGAATATAATATGTCTCAGTTTCAGAGCAATGAACCGTGTGAGCAACATTTGAACATGGGAAGAAAGTGTAGCGTATGGGGCTCTAGAAGTGGTTATGCCAGCCAAAAGGGACTAAGGCAAAATAACAATATATAGTTCTAAAAGATTCAGAAAAAAGAGCACAGTGGGCCAAAAGTGTCCCAAATAAATTATTCGTAGAAGATGTCACGGATTATATGGGAGTTTGCTCTCTGCACTTCCCACCTGATGTACATTTGGCACGTGCTGGAAGATTTATGGTGCCCACAGAGCCTCCATCAATATTTCCAGAAGTACCACCGTCATGTTGTGGCACACCAGCTCCAAAAAAAGAGAGCAACTACAAAAAGTTCAGATTTTTCTAGAGCTGTAGATATTGATGAAATGAACGTATTCAAAGAAAGAGATGCCTTCAAGTTCGCTTCAATTTATCAAACAATGCCGAGCAAAGTGTTTCGCGGAATGAAGGACAGGCGAAGAAAAAAAAAGCAAAGCTGTCATCCCAATTATGCAAACAGTCACTTTTTCAGAGGTAAAAGAGATTGTGTTCAGTTACATGCTTAACATAATATATATATATATATATATATATAAATAAATATATATATATTATATATATATAATATGTACGTGTGTGTGTGTGTGTGTGTGTGTGTGTGTGTGTGTGTGTGTGTGTGTGTGTGTGTGTGTGTGTGTGTGTGTGTGTGTGTGTGTGTGTGAAATTAATTTTTTTTCATATTTGTTAAAACATGTAGAATGAGAATGATGTCTCTTGTATCCGTTGAAGAACAAAAGTTATCCCACTAGTGTGCCACGGTCTTTTTTGTGGTAAAATGCGAAGTTAATTCATTTTCATGTTGACAAATTGATACACTCTGTCACTGGTGTGATCTTCCTTCGTTATAAGAGCAGATAACCTCTCACGAAAAAACTTCTACAACAAAAATGCATTGCGTTGTAGGCCAGTCTAGTGAGTACAATGCGAAAATGCTCCTTCACCCGCACCAACGCACTACTCTATCGCCGCTTTCAGCATTGACCCTCCGGGAACGTTGTCGGCCTCCAATGCCGAGGCCAGTCGTGCGGGATGTATGGTCTGGAACTGAGAAAGCCTAGGCACAGAGGGATCGGTCAACCAAAGAGAATATCACACTCATCAACGGCTAGCTAGGAGTGGGTATTGTGACATCAACAAGACTAACGACCTCTGGGGGGGGGGGGGGGCACAAGGAGGTGTACTGAGAAGGCACAGAAAAAATACATGAACATGAATTTGCTCACCTTGAGGCCGTAGTTAAGTTCCAAGGCAGTGGAGACACCAAGCACTAAGGACCCACGTGCTCTTTCTCCGCGGAAGCCTTCGATAATGCTTGGGTTGGGGCCCCAGGCCTCGCTGGCCACAAACACAAATGTGTCATCTTGGGTCACAGCCTCAAGGATTTTACTGGCAATCGTGTCCATAGCGAAGGCAACGACAACCTGCAGAAATTCAGGTTGGCTTGGATCTGGCTCTGTTTGATTCTGTTTGTCCTTGATTCGGTTTGATTAACTTTGGTTAGCTTTAAGATCTTTAAAAAAAAATTATCTTTAAATTTTGTTAAGCCGGGCTCGCTTTTAAATGCTCACGATAAAAAAACAACAACTTCGGTTTAATGATCAGCTACATATCTTCTTTCAAGAACCAAGCTTACGTACTAATTAAGCAATACTCGTTAAACTGAAAGTAAATACAAACTAATAATAGATCCCTTAATTCACAAATATCCAGCTGCTAATGGCTTTGATGCCATAATGGATCTACTTGTTCTCTATTTTCCCTGGAAAGTTCTACATGCCCCTCTACGGACGGAAAATATTACAGTATCTATAGTCCTTACCTGTATCCTCTTGTCTCTGTACTTAGCCAGTTGTGCACGGATCTCTTCTATAGGTGTATCTTTCGTCATTTCAAATGGGTCGTCCACACAAATTTGCTCCTCCTCTGCCATGTTGCGGAATAGGTCAAAGAGGCCAAGACCGTAAGAGTTTTGAATAATCATGGCACCAACGTACGTCACCTTATAAAAAAAATAATTTAAAAAAATGGAGGAGACAGTGGCATAACACAGAGTGGCGGTTTAATGTGGCATATCAGCTCAAAAGCATTCATATGAAAGAACAGTTCGGAGTAAACAAAAAAAGATTCCATATAAAGTCACACGGAATTCCGGGGAATTAAGGCGTTTATTCATTTTTTATCCCTTTTCAGCAAATCTGGGAATTTGTCTTCCATTCATACTATACAGTCAGTCAATTAGTCAGTTATTCATTCACCCTTGAAACTCGAAAGACAAAGATTAGGCTATCTGCAACAAGACATCGCTTACAAATGAAACAGTCAATATAAAAAATACAAGTTGGGGACCATCGCTGCTGACTACAGTTTCTTCAGCTGTGGGCGGTGCTTAGTTTTGTACATCTAGCTGGTGGTCGGCCGGGACAGGCAGCACATTTCACGCTACCAAACGCTTCTACCTCCCGCCCTTGCCATCCATTTCAATCCCTCTAGTCCTCAAAAAGACATCTCGCTAGCTCAAAACGATGCCATTAACTGGTCATGCGACAAAGCTTGAAGACGCCCTGTTGAGGCACTATACAAAAGCTTCGTTATTTATGTACAGATCTTTCAATCTTGTTTACTTAAGGGGGGGGGGGCTGGTTTATAAACCTCTCTCGGTAACTATGGCCTATTTAGATAAAGCCTTATAGCAAGGAGGTATAACAGGAAAACATAATTTGTAAAATGTAACTTTACTTTTTTTGGTTTAAGTCTACGGTTGCCATGGTAACTTCCGCCATATTGAAAACATACAGATTTCATAAAAGTATAAAAGATTTTTTATTTACAAACCAAATATGTTCAAATTTGGTACATTGATTGATATACTCTATACAAAATTTTAGCAGTTGGGATTTGGATATCTTGAATAGGACAAAAGTTAGAGATGGATAACTGACCTACCCCTTCATGCCTCTCAATTCGATTACATAATCTTCCATGTAACTCACTTATAAAAGCGTCGATTTTATTTTTCCACCAGTATAAAGTTAGGATATGATATGAATGACAAACCCTGGAAATTTCATTGGAATAAAAATAAAGTAAAACAGTAGATGAGAAAAACATCATTACATAATAGGCTAAATCAAAGTTCTAGGTCAGAACATCTGAAAGATGATGATTGTAACACAAAGAGTAAATACTTTTCAGATTTACAAATGATTGGAGTATTATAATACGTAAGAAGTCCAGATACCATAAATTGACGAAAAATCGTCAATTTAAAACCGCCCCCCCCCCCTTAAATTTGAAACGTAAAAAGCGAGATAACAAAATGCATACTACGAAATAAGCAAATTTGTGTTTCTGATTTGTGTATGGCGGTTCGACATAATATGCCTCAATGGTGCCTTTGGTCTACTGCTGATCAGACTTATGTGTCCGCTGGTCCTCAGTGAGTTAAACGGACACTTACCTTAAGTTGTTCAAGGATTAGTTTGATAACCTTGGACTGAATGGCGTCACTGCTGACAGTACGGGAGAAGTACGGGTATGTGTTGCGGTTGTCTAGGTCCGGGTTTGTTGAACTGAGGAGAACAGTCAAGACGAATTGGGCGTTTCCTTGTGGATGGATGGATGGATGGATGGATGGATGGATGGATGGATGGATGGAAGGAAGGATGGATGGATGGGTGGATGGATGGATAGGTGGATGGATGGGTAGATGGATGGGTAGATGGATGGATGGATGGGTGAATGGATAGATGGATGGATGGGTGGATATATAGACAGATAGGCTAATGTAAGCGAGCCCCGTACCCCTAGTGGGATTTCATTTTGAGGAACCAGGAACGATAGCAATTTTTCGCGAACACTATGTTTCCCCAACATATTTTTACTCCCCAAAACTCCTTGCCCTCGAGCTCAGACAGCTTATTATGTTTATGCCTTTAATGATTCATTTCCCGAGATTGCCTTTTTTTTACACAATTAATTTGCGCAGTTCCCGATGTCCCGACTGTTATAGACGGGTGGTGGTTGGAGAGTGGCCCCAGCTGGCCCACCGTTCTTTGCGTATTTCTCTGGTTTTTATCATTGGGTTAGGGTAGGGGTTGAGGGTGGATGGTGAAATTTGACTGCTCAAACAAACTTTTATCTTATTTCATCATCTTATCCGATTTTTATCTTATCCTATTTCACAATATTACGATCACAGTTCTTATTCCTGCGTTCTTATTACACATTTTCACACTTCCCTCTTCTTTTTCTATCTTATCTTTCTACATAATGGTCGGCTATCATGAGGTAATCGTAATTTTGATAAGTAATAATAATGATATCAGAAAACATTTATGTTGCGCACTTCAGTTTTCTAAAAAATATTCAATGTGCATCACAGTCAAAGAGATATCACAATTTAGAATTACTTGACAGTTGTGCACGTAGAAAATAATAGTGTACAATGTTTAGCTTGTCATTTTATTAGTGTTCGAGCGCTTAATCAGCTGCTTTCACTGTTTGCTTCTCGGGAAGCTGAGAATGTTTCTAGGTGTTCTTGGGTCTGCTGGGGTAGTACTATTTAGTTGTATAGCTCATAGTGCTGTCTGATGGGGAGGTATGCAGTATACAATAAATGCTAATTATCACCATTATCATGATTATTATGATTACTTTATTGATGATCCTTATTACCTTGATTATTCCTATTCTTATTCTAATAACAATTTCTATTTTTTTTTTTTTAAAGTGGTCACATGTCCAGCCGACGCACTGTCTGACCTGTAAGAAATGAGAGGAATGCCTAGAGCCCGCAGTACCGGCAGCACTGCCATGGTCACAGGACTGGATTGTGCGCCCACCGCCACTGTCACACGTTGTGGGTCGAACCTCTGGCCGGAGACGGGGTCAGTAATATTGAGGTCGCCACTGAGCACCTGGGATGGAAGATTTCAGCTATGGATAGGCAGTATGATTACAAATGTATGTATGAGTGTTTGTGAACGTTTGTATAATAATAAATAGCATTTATACTGCGCATTTTCATTTTCTAAAACAAAAATGCTCAATGTGTGTGTGTATGTGTGTGGGTGTGTGTCTTTGTGTGTGTGTGTGTGT